ATAGCATTAGTCCCATCAAGTTCGTATCTAGATAATATATGACTGCCAGATGAACCTGTGTCTTAGCTACCTTGGACTAGGTTCCCAAAGGTCACTCCCAGAAATTGCTCCATCATCCTCAGGCAATTGATGCTGCACTGGCTACAAAACCCAGACTCTAGAAAGATGAGATGCTGAAAGAAGCTCTCTTCATTTCTCAGGGCATAAATGTGCCAAATTGGCTGCAAACTCAAGTCAAGGTGCCCATTGGTCCTTTTGAACTCATAAGGTCATGAGCTCCCTCCCTTTGCCAGTCACCAAGCTTCTCCCAGAGCACTGAGGCCAAGAGGACAGGCTGAAACTGACAGACCTTTTTGAATAACTCCATAGTCAATCAAAGAGTTTCCATTTCAACACCTGGATAGTCAATAGAACCAGTTACAGAATATCTGCACATGTTCCACAGTTTGTCTCTCCAAGACATTTCCCATATACAAATCTTCTGGAAGTAGTTCATTAGCATCCTTCACATGGAGAGGTGACATCTCCCAAGCTTTCTCCCTGTGAAGACACCCTCTGAGGCACTCTGGATATGCATCAGATCCCTATTAAATGTTTACTTAACTTGCTTTCTGTTTCATGCTTTGTTAGTCTGATGCTTGCAAGAGAACAGAGGATACCTAGAGCAAAAAAAAAAAAAAAATTTAAATTCAGAGATGTTCCTAGAGCCTGACTCTAGTAAAGGGGCAAAAATGATTCATATAGGTTATTTTTGGATTTTGTCTAATCTTTCTATCCCCAAGGTGTCTTACACGGTATATTATACAAAGTATGTTCTGACTGAAAAAAATGAATGATGAAGCATTTATTAAGCACTTACTCTGTACTACATAAGGGGGTTAAAGATAAAAAGCAGAGACACTCCTGTCTTCAAAGAGCTTGCATTCTAATGGAAGAGACAGAATAAGTGGTTGTTTTTTGTTTTGTTTTGTTTTACAGAATAAATGCCCAAAACCAAACCGATCATCTTTCCCCCCCAAACCTTCTCTTCTTTCCAACTTCCCAACTTAATGATCTTCATGCTCAAAATCGAGGAGTCATATATGACTACTCTTTCATTGCTTACATTTTGTTGATTCTACCTTCACAATTTATCTTGCATCTTTCTCTACCACTTTTCCGTTGCTGCTGCCTTAGTTCAAACCCGCATGACCTCTATATTGGGTTATTCCAATAGCCTCATATCTAGTTTCCCTGGCTTTAGTCTCTTACTTCTTTCTTCAACTCACCCTACTTATTGATGCAAGATTAGTCTTTTGGAAGGACAGCTCTGATCATGTCACTCCTCTACTTAAAAACAATTGATGACTCAGAATCACAGTGTTAGAACTAGAAGGAAGCTTGGAGATTATGCAGTTCAACCCCCTCATTTGATAGATGAGGAAACCAAGAAGCTTAGTGATTTTCCCAAAGTCACATTGGTAGCATCAATCATAGATCTTAAAAGTCATCTAGTCCAACCCCCTCATTTTCTCATTTTACAGATGAGGAAATTGAGGCCAAGACAGAAGTTAAAGAATTTAATATTACTTTAGGGCTGGAAGGAACTTCAAATTCTCTTAGTTCAACCCTCTTCATTTTATTTTATTTTTTTAAGGCAATTGGGGTTAAGTGACTTGCCCAGGGTCGCACAGCTAGTAAGTGTCAAGTGTTTGGTCTGAGGCCGCATTTGAACTCAGGTCCTCCTGACGTCAGGGCCGGTGCTGGATCCACTGTGCCATCTAGCTAGCCCCTCCCCTTCAATTTATAGACAGAAAGCAGCAGAGTCAAGATTCAAAGCCAGATCTTTCAGCTGTTTCCACCTCTCAATGCTAATAAAATAACATACAAATTCCTTATTCTGGTGCTTGAGGCCTTCCACAATCTGGCTACAATCTGCCTTTCCAACTTCATTTCATATCACTCCTTATAATTTATTCTAATAGTATAGTTAAAATGGACCACTTGATGTACCCTGAACAAGTCCTCCATTTAGAGATGCTTGTGTCCTCCTCCTCCATACCATTCTCTAGGTCTCCAGTGTCCTCTCTCACCATCTCTACTTGTCTAAATCATATCTGTAGCCTTGCTAAAATGCACTTTCTTTATGAAATCTTCCCTGATTCCCCAGTTGTAAGTTATTTCTCCTTCCTCTGAACTCCTACTTTCAGCACACACACATACATATATAGATATATATGTATATTATATATATATGTTTTGTGCATATATATTCTATTTTGTATTCTCGCCAACTAGATGAAAAGCTATTGCTGTTTTCAAGTATTTCAAAAGTTGTCATACTTGAATATAGTAATAGCTGTTATATATGCTTTATGGCTTACACTTCACATATATCTCTCTGTATGTATATATATGTATGTATGTATGTATGTATTGATGTAATATATTTCATTCATTTGATCCTCACAACAACCCTTACAGGGTAAGAAGTACCAGGATTATTATTCACATTTTACATATTAGGAAACTTGAGCCTCAAATTCAGAGTAGAGAAAACATTTCAGGATAGCTAGAACCCATTCAAGTACAGAGAATGAATAAATTTTTTTCAAGCTTTTATTTTTCCCCAGTTACATGTAAAAACAATTTTAACATTCATTTTTAAAACTTTGAGTTCCAAATTCTCTCCCATCCTCCCTCCCTCCCTACCCCATCCCCATTGATACGGCAAGCAATTTGATATAGGTTATACAGTGTAATCATGCAAAACATAAGCATAATAGTCATGTTGTGAAAGAAAACAGACAAAAAAACTCAAGAAAAATAAAGAAAGTATAAAAAAGTATGCTTCAATCTGTATTCAGACACCATCAGTTCTTTCTCTGGGGATGGATAGCATTTTTCATCATTAAGTCCTTCAGAATTGTCTTAGATTGTTGTATTGCTTAGAATAGCTAAGTCATTCACCTCTCTGATCATCTTGAAGTATTGCTATTACTTTGTACACAGTACATTTAACTTTGCATAAGATCATGTAAGTCTTTCCAGGTTTTTCTGAGAGCATTCTGCTTATCATTTCTTATAGTACAACAGTTTTCCATCATAATCACATACCATAACTTGTTCAGCCATTCCCCAATTGATGTGCTTCCCCTCAACGTCTAATTCTTTACCCCCAGAAAAGAGCTGCTATAAATATGTTTGTACATATAGGTCCTTTTCCTTTTTGTTTTTTATCTCTCTTGGGATACAGACCTAGTAGTGGTATTGCTAAGTCAAAGGGTATGTATGGTTTTATAGCTCTTTGGACCTAGTTCCAAATTGCTCTACAGAATGGTAGAATCAGTTCACAACTCCACCAACAGTTCATTAAAGTCTCATTTTTCCCACATCCTGTCCAACATTTGTCATTTACTTTTCTGTCCTATTAGCCAATCTAATAGGTATGAGGTAGTACCTAACTGTTTTAATTTGCATTTCTCCAATCAATAGTGAGTTAGAATATTTTTTCATATGGCTATAGAAAGCTTTGATTACTTCATCTGAAAACTGATCATATCTTTTGATCATTTATCAGTTGGAGAATGGCTCTTATTTTTATAAATTTGACTCAGTTCTCTATATGTTTGAGAAATGAGGCTTTCATCAGAGAAATTTGCTTCAAAATTTCTTTCACAGTTACTATTGCTAACTGTATTTCCCTCCTTCCTATTCCACTCCCCACCATGAATTTTTTTAAAATGGGAAAGATGACACTGTCTCCTTTTCTTCTCTGTCTGCCTCAAGCACACTTACCTTCACATTCTGAAATCAATTAATAGATGATCAGTAAAGCCTTAAAGCATTACCAAGCTATTGGCTGTTGCTGGTTTCAGTGGCGAGTCACCATGGTTGCATCTGAATGAGCAAAACATAGGAGATAATCAAGACAGTCTTGAGAGTACTAGCCAAAAAAGCAGGTAAACTCCAACTATCTGAATATTTTTCAGAAAATAACAATACCACACATCTATTACTGCTCTTTACAATTTACAAAGTACTTTCACATAAAATATTTCCTCATGACAACCCTGTGATAAAGGTAAGACAGGTATTATCCCCATTTTACACATGAGGAAATTGTGACGCAGAAAGGTTAATACTTAATGGTACACCTGAGACTTAAACCTAGGTGTCTTGATTCCTCATGCATTAATTCAGCAAATATTTATTACGCACCTACTATCAATCAATCAATCTAATATCTTTATTAAATGCCTACGTTGCTTTGCTAGGCACTGGAAACAGCTCAATCCCCTACTGTCACTGAATTTACATTCCAATATTATGTGACAGGCACCGATCCCCAGTGCTTCTTCTATTAACATCCCCTCCTCTTGGGGTCTGAATCATGGAGATAATTTCTTTGATTGTCTTTTTGGGGTAGGTTAGTTTAAAGACTCCTTGATTCGGGAATCAGATGGTCCAAGTTCCACCTCCTGATCTGGCATTTTCTAGTTGTGTAATCATGGGCAAGTGGCTTAAACTCTGTGGCGATGTAATATATAAATTGCATTACCTGCCTCTCGGTGTTGTTATGAAAGAGAAATTAGAGCTATCATTTATTGATACTAATAGTGAGAGAACGAACCCAGTCTGCTAGTTCCAATTTCTATTAGAAATAAGAATGAGTCTGGGGTATGCAACTGGGCAGCAGGCAGACAGAAAGCCCACCGACACATCTCTCAGCTATCAGCAAACGTGTAAATACCAGCAGAGGTACGTGCAAAGTTCAATAGACACGAGCCCATCATTCCCAAGCACGCGCTTGGAGCGAAGCCTCGGATAAGGAGCGCCCAGCCCCCAGCGTAGAAATCTGTTGCCATGACTACACGCTGCGCCTCTGCCGCCACGCGTCTCACGTACGCTCGGCGCTCACTTGGCCGTGCCTGGCCGCGGTTCTGCGCTCTCCGCCCTCCCCCTGCGCCTGCGTCGTCCGTCCCCTGCTAGTCACTCCGGCTCTGATCGGGAAGTGTCAAGCGGGAGCCGGTCTCTGCCGCCGCGGCTGCCGCCTGCCTACGGAGCTCCGAGGCTCCCGGCCCTGGCCCGGCCGGGCCCAGCCGTCATGACGAACGGTGAGAGCGGCTCCTGGCGCGGGTAGGGGGGAGGGGAGACGTGGCAGCCCGAGGAGGAGGGAAGGCGGGCGGGGCCCGGAACGACGTGGCCGCTTTCCCCGCCCCCTCCTCGTCCCGAAACTCGGGGAGCTTGCTCCCGGGGGAGCGCTCTCCGCCCCTGGAAGACCCGAGACTCCGTCCGAGCCCGCGGGTGGCCAACAGGACCGGTCACGGGGGGTGGGAGAGCCGCCCGAGCTCGCCACCCCCCCCCACCCCCGTCCCGGGCTGGGGGAGGGGCGCCTGTGTCCGTGTCCTGCGAGTGGAGCCTCCAGAAGTTTAGAGCGGGGCGATTTAGGGCTGGAAAGGACCCTCGCTCGTTGTGCAGAGGGGGAAACTGAGGCCCAGAAGTGCCCCGTCCTTGGATTGAGCGAGAGGGAGGCTGGAAGTCGGAAAGACCTGAATTAGAAGCCTTCTCCCAACCCTTAACTAGTGGTGGGATCCCGAACAAATTAATGAGCCTTCAATGCCCTTTTTCTCATATGTAAAATGACGGTGATAATAGCGTCTACTTCCACACAGGGTCATTGGGAGGAGAAAATAAAATAATGAATATAAAGTGGTTTGCAAATCACGTACGTGGGAACTGCTATTAACGTGAAGGGTCGGAGCCAGAATTCGTATCCAGGTCCTTTGACACCAAATCCTAGGCTCTAGGTTGTGGTAGATGCTTATGTTTGTTAAATTAATCTTCTGTTGTACTAAGTAACAACTCTGACTAGTTCATTACATCCAGACACTCTTGATATATTGTAGGGATCTACCTACCAGTTATTGTGAAGGAAGGTACTCTGTGCACCTTAAAGTGCTCCATAAACCTGTTGTTATCATTACACTGATCAATCAAGTAAAGGCACCTGTAACAAACTATATCCAAGGAAATATTTCCGACTTCAGAGACTACAGATTGAATTCCATGTGGGAGTGGGGGTGGAGAGGTAACCTCATTCCTTCTAAATAACCTGGTAATTACCATACTGTTTATCTTTTTATTTCCTGAGCTGGGGGGTGGGGTGGAGGGGTCTGCTCCAGCAGCATTATGGTCATGGTCTTAGATAAAAATCCTTTTATGTTCCTTTTCTGGTTAGCCTTACACAAAAGAAGGGAAAGCAGCTAATGAGGTGATGTGATTTGAGAAACCGAAAAAAAAAAAATCTTCCCTATGTGCCTGTCCCTGATGCTTGGAATTACACCATTAGAGATTCTTTCCCTCCTGTTAATGATCTTTGTCCCATATGAAAATAAAAATTAGTCCCAGAGGTGAATATATTAAGCCATTTAAAATTCCTTTAGCATGAGATCCCATTTAGCTCTAAATCTGCCTTCTCATGATCCCTGGTCCTTTCCAATATGATCAGTTTCCGAGAACAAATTTTACAATGGGGTAGGTCTAGAGCAGGGAGCAGCTAGGTGGTGCAGGGGTTAGAGCACTGGGCCTGGAGTCAGGAAGATTTCATTTTTCTGAGTTCAAATCTGGCCTCAGACACTTACTAGTTGTGTGACCCTTGCCAAATCACTTAACTCTGTTTGCCTCAGTTTCCTCTTCTGTAAGATGAGCTGGAGAAGGAAATGGCAAACCACTCCAGTATCTTTTCCAAGAAAACCCCAAATGGGGTCACAAAGATTAAGACACAACAGAGATTCAGTGTCCTTTGAAGGCAATCTTTGTGAGGTGGCCAGGGTAGGCAGTAGTTGAAATGAAGGCCTAGGAACTCTTATGTGAGGGGTAACAGGATATCACGATTGTGTATACTATACCATTTGGCTGCTTCAAAATTTTCCTTAGGACTTTTTCCTTTATGGATAGGACATTTGAGATGCAGGTAAGGTCATAGATTTAGAGCTGAGAGAAAGCATAAGGATTACATAGTCCATACCCCTTATTCTGCTTATGAGGAAACAGGCTCAGAGAGATTAGGAAGCAATCAAAAAGGCTGGGATTTGGACCAAGGTTCCCTGACTGTTGGTCCAGCATCTTTTCCTCTACACCACCCTGCCTTAAGGGAATTCATCCCAAGTTGCAGAGGCAAGAAGTAGAACTCAAGACTTCAAAATCCAGATTTTTCGTTCTATTTGCCACTTTTCTCAGCTTGCTAAAGATTCCAGCTCCTTTTTTTCTTCTTTAAGAAGTTGGAGGTTTTATTTTAGGATCTTGTTCCATATTCTATCTAGTAAGAGAATGTCATGCTCACAGTTGCTGTCTAATTATGGGCCAGCAATGATACATACGTGAACTCCAGCACCTATAGTTTGTTGAACTTTGCATCTTCCCTAACCCATCGTGCCAACAGATCCAACTCTGACATATATAGCTGTAGCTTCCCTCTCCTTTCTCTAGTGAAAGAATGGGTGTATTATAACAAGAACATGTTAAATTTTCTTTGTTTAGCCCCAGAAATGTCTCATGCTCTGTCAACATCTTGTCATCTGTGGTGCACGGAAGACTGATTCCGGAAGAGCTGATGACCTTTTTTTTTTTTTTAACTGGGTGGGCACTATTTTGTTAAATCTTATTTAGGTTTCAGATATTAAATGTAACAAGTTGTCTGACATTTGAATCTTAAATGCATTATTAGTTAAAGACTTGAAAAGATAGGTGTGTATGTCTGTATGTATCTCACTTATAAAGTTTTCAGTACTACCATTTAGTTGGTATTGTAAGGGAGGTGCTCTCTGGGGGGATGGAATAGGTCCTCTCAGGTGGTCTAGCCTCAGAATTCTTGAGTGCTTCTCTTAGATACCAGTTTGCCTGTCCCTGGAGATACAGTGGGCTTTGATTGGTTGGGATTGTAAGGCCAGGTGTTTCTTGGACCACTACCTGATTACTCTGTAGAGCTGTTGTGCTGTGCAGTTCTTATCAGTCCCTTAGAAACAAGAGCAGTAGCCAAGTAATCCTTTTAAGCATTGCCCCTTACCTGTTTTTGGCCTGGCTTATGCCATACTTGTAGAATAGCTTTATTAAGGCAATGGTAGTTCAATAGTTTTATTAAAGCAATGCTAGTTCATAACTTTATTAAGGCAATGCTAGTCCCCGATCAACCAGAATGGGCGGGGGGGGGGGGGGGATTTCTGCACAGAATTTCTCTGTTGCCGAGGTTCAAATATAGAACTATACTAGTAAAAGGTAGGTGATAAGTGAATCCATTCCAATATAAAGCCCTTCACCACCTGACTCCTTCAGCTTACTGAACACGACTCTCCTTCACACACTTCTCGGTCCAGCCAAATTAGCCTCCCTATTGGTCCATACACACCATATTCTACTTCCTGCCTCTGGGTCTCTGCAAGGGCTGTGCTCCTTCTCCTCTTCTTAAAATTCCTTGCTTCTTCCTTCAAGACTCAGCTCAGGTATTGCTTCCTATATGAGGCTTCTCCTGATTCCCCCCAATTGCTAGTGTCCTCTTCCTCCCTCAATTTATATTTACTTTGTACATGTTTTGTATTTACATATATTCATATTCCTTCTCTTCCCCTTCCTTTCTCCCCTACCCCTATGTAAACTCCTTGAGAGAAACTCTAGTCTAGATCTGTTCCATTTTTGATTTTAGCTCTCCAGCACCTGTCTAGCACACAGTAGGTGCTTAATAAATGGTTGTGTAATTAATGAATGACACCCATTGTCTTACCTATCCAGTATAACCTATGGCAAGTATAGGGTGAAAAAAGAAGTTGAAGTTGGCCTGAAGGAAGTGCTCGTTAAGAAGTTTTTGAGCTTACCAGGGGCCTATTTCACAGCCTTGCTTTCAATAAATATTTGTTGAACTTCAATTGAGGTAATGTTGATAATGCCGGAAAATTGCTTTGCTGTTGTTAAGGGTTGGCCTAGCCCATTTAGGTTATTGACTAAATGCCATCCATCATTCTGTTCACCCTCAGCCCTCCCAAGACAGCATTATGAGTCTTAGCTCAGGTAATAACTTTTCTACCAATCAGTGATAAGTCAAGTTTTGTTTTTTTTCCCTTTCACAGTCTATTCCCTGGATGGGATCCTGGTATTTGGTTTGCTATTTGTTTGCACCTGTGCCTACTTCAAGAAGGTGCCTCGCCTCAGGACCTGGCTGCTCTCCGAGAAGAAGGGAGTCTGGGGTGTGTTCTATAAAGGTGAGATTGTGCTGGCACAGGAAGAGAAGATTTTTATGGCAGCATTGAGGAATTCGCAAGAGGCAGGAAGAATTCTATTAGATGAGGTTCAAGCTTTCTGAGTGTCTTGTTAGTGAAAAGAGGCTCTAAGAATGTAGGACTAAGGGAAATCATTTTTCTGAGATTTAGGATAGAGGTGAGCTTTAAAAACAGGAGTAATGAGGAACTCAGGGATTAGTACCTTGAACTTTCTGAATAAGATGCAACACGTACATTTTAAAACTATTTGACAAAATTTTGACAAAACTGGAGTTTGTTGAGAAGGCTGTAATTCTAACAAAAGGACTTAGGCCAACTTAAAATTTTCCAATTCTAGGCAAGATAACCTGGAGTTTTCCTTACTCTTAGGTTCTGGCTCTCATTACTCTACGACTTTTCGGCCTCATTTTCAGTCCTTTTATCTGGAAAAGGAGATATACAAAGTGATTGCCACAGTGATATGGCACTTACTATATGTCAGACACCATGCTAAATGCTTTGTAATTATTGTCTCACTTCTTCCTCACAGCAAACCTAGGAATTAGGTGCTATTATTATCCCTACTTTATAAATGAAATAGGGTTAAGTGACTTACCCAGGGTCACACAGCTAGTGCCTGAGCTGGATTTGAACTCAGGAAGAGAATCTTCCTGACTCCAGGCCCAGTGCTCCGAGCCTCTGAGTTGGGACATTTGGATTCTGTTCCTGGCTTCTCATGACCTTGAAGTTTTCTTACTGTGGCCTAATGTCCATCCCAGTTGATTGCAGCTGCCCAGTGATTTTCAGAGAAGAGGCAGGTTGGCTAGAAAGGCCAAAAGTTTTAGGTCTTTTTTATTGGCATGTTTTAATTGGCATAGGGATAGGCTTGTGGCCTAACTTAAGGTACCAAGGAACCACTGCTGGCAGGAGAATGAAGAAGGTTTTCCGGGGTTTTATTCCCCACAGAGATAAACATACAACTCTGCCTTAGATTCCTGAGAGAGGCTGATAGGATTCAGATAACAGTGACTTTCAAGTCACTTATTTTACCAGAAGCTGCCTTTGAGAATTGCCACACCCAGGTTATGCCAAGCTCTTGTCACTCCCCCTAGGTTGGGGTTGGGCTGCCTGGGCTTGAGGTTTCCTGTTTCTCCCCCCCCCCCCCCCCCCCCCGCCATGGAAATTCCTTTTAGCCTGGAGAAGTCAGAAATGGAGGGTTCCAGAAAAAGGTGCAAGGAAGAGGGTACCAGGCAGAAAGAGGGTGTACATCTGTACCAGAGTCAGATTGTGGCAGACAAACCTCATGGAGCTCAGGGCCTGAAAACCTGAAACCATTTTTGACTATCACACTTGGGATCTCAAGAGTGTTCACCAGAAGGTGAGAAATTGTTTGAAAGACAGGCAGTCATTTTCCTCTTTGCTTTTTTTTTTTTTTTTTTTTTTAACCAGCTGCTGTGATTGGAACCAGGCTGCACGCTGCCGTGGCAATTGCTTGCATTGTGATGGCATTTTACATTCTGTTTATAAAATGAACTCTAAGACATCCGAACTGCCAACTGTCAATCAAGGGGCTTGGGGCAAGAGGCCTCTCAGGGACTTATGCCCCCTGTAGAAGAGCTGGACTGAGATTAACAAAGCCCCCCAGGATGACACCGCATCCTCTGCCCCCACCAGGCCCAGAAAAAGCTCCTTGGGATCACCCACATCATTCAGGCTTGGGGGGATTCCAGAAAGCCAATTTCTCTACCTTCCTCTGATCTGTTTATAAATTAATCTGCTGCAAAGAGTCTGGTGTTCAGCTATATAGCGCACCTCTTGGTGATAACATTACATACCTCTTGCTGAAGAGTACCTGTCATGTATTTTGTTCCTCAGCAGTTCTTCAGGATCTCTTAAGACTGAGTGAGCCTAGGAAGAGTAGGAAGAGTAGGTCGGGCCATGATTTCTTGGGAGGGAGTATTTTTCAAGTCTCACTTTCCCTGTTTGATCTGGATTAGGCAAATTGGATAAATGGGAGTTAAGCAATGCCAAGGAAGAGTCTGGCTTTGGATAGTTCTCTTTTTTATGTCCATCTGGGGATATAACAGAGAGACATTGCCTTCTGTGCACAAGGAGAGCACGTGAACTAGCTGGGTGCTGAATGTGTGGGAACTCTGCCAAGACAGTTTTTGGGAATGGCTAAGGTTGGGGAAGGGCTTGTCTGTTTGGGATCAGTCCAGAAAGCAGAGACATCCTAGATGAGAGAAAGAGCTGGTATTCAGAAATGCAGAGGGCTTAGGGTTTTACCAGATCAAATGGCATGTGGAGAATTAGTAAGCTGTTTTCCTTAAGCCTTGGTAGATTTTTCAAATTTCCTAGACTTTATTGCTGTCATTAAAGAAGTTTGAAATATAGCCATTTGGGGGGGGGAACACATTGAAGGAAAGAACTTTTCAATTTATTTGCAGTTGGGAGTGGGGGAAATCCTACCACATTACAAACATTTGTTATTAGATATTAGAAAGATTGGTATTTCTAGCCAAAATATTAAGATCCATACTTACCCTTTGAAAAGACTAAGTTGTTAAGACAGTTCTCAGTTGATTACTTCTTCTTTTGTCTGGCTACCTCTTGTGATCCCACATATTATGCTTTTCTTAAAAACTACTGTGGGTGGAGAAAAAAGGGAAGAATTGAGTCTGGAGAGGGGGCAGTGTGCTGCCATTTGGATGGGCTTCATCCACATAGTGTTTCACAGTGTCTAGACAAATTAGGGCTTTTTCATGCCTCTGAAATGTGGGGAATGAGGATGAATTTGAGTTTGAGATTAGGGGAATTTTCCAGGAAGAATGGGTGCTGAAGCCTGTTTGGAGAAGCCCACGTTTTAAAAAAGTATTGACAACCCCACCTCTCTCCTTTGATGTACAGTGGCGTCTTCTGGCCTTGGTGAGGCCAGGTCCTCTGTATCAAAAAATAAACTCTATAACAAGGGCTGAACACATTAAATTACCTTGAACAACAAGCATAGATGTGAGTCTGTTAATTGTATGTTGAGGTTAAAAAAAGAAGTGGTTCTACTTTTCCTGAAACTCTCAGAAGGAAAGTATTTTGTTTGCTTGCCCCCCAGGGGGGGCAGTGAATTCTTTTTCCGTACCTGCTCCCTCCAAACCAGCAAAAGCTTCTAGAAAGGAGGCTTCAGGCAAAATGAGTCGATTGCCTGTGGAGTCCCCGTCAGCCATTGGAAGTCATCAAGTAAGACCCAGCAAGAGCAGCCATCCATTGGGGTTGGTCTGCAAGAAGAATGTGAATGGCTAATTCTGTGCTGCCCTGGGGACTGATGGGATCTTGGACAAAGAAGAAAGCCTCTTTAAGTGACTGTTCTGAAAGGAGGAACGAGATCCACCTGGTGGGGGTAAGCTTGGGACGGCTCACTAGAGACCCAGGTTCAGCACGTTTTGCACATATTGAGTTCAGTAGCTTTAATGTATTTTCTTTTCCAATAGGACTAACATTCCTGAGGTTGGTGCTTAGAGCAACTTCATAGTTTAAGCCAGTCCCATTTCACAGCAGTTTGTTCAAACCAATCTTTATGGCTTCTTGAATTGATCAGTGTGAACTTTTGAGGGGTTTTATTCTGAAATGCTGTTCTTACCAAAATGAACCAAAAAATGCACGAGGTGAACATAATTACTGCACAGGAAAAAAATACTCATTTGTGTTTTTCACAGCTTGTTCAATTCTTTAAGTAAGCAGAAAACTCCTTAACCAAGTGAAATCATCAGCTTAGCTAACATCTCCTGTCATCAAAAACAAACAAAAACACTAGAAAACCATTCCTTTGGGCAGTGATGCATTAGTGGCTGAAGGAAAAAAGGAGATGTCAACATTGGTTTTTTTGATGTTGACATTCACTGTAAAAAAAACTAGCATTACCATAAACCTGTCCCCTTTATGTCAGGTGGATTGAAGAGGGCAGCTTTTTTAAAGTTAAAATACAATTTTTTTACTTACCATTGTCTGTACAAATTATTGGAAATAAAATCTCTTTCCCTATAGCCTTTGTCTGTTTCTATTTGTCATGTGCAGATTTTGGTGAATCTTGTTGAATGCTACACAGCAGTCTGGCTCAGTATAATCCTTGGGTGCTCCTTAGTCAATCCTAAAGCCCAGGTCTGACCACATAAGTCCCTAGCTCAAAACATTTAGGTGGCCCTCTCTTCAAGATAAAAGCCCAATGCTTTTATTTGGCAGTTAAAGTCCTTCACATTGGAGTCCTCCACTTACCTTTCCAGACTTAGCTCAAGTTACTCCCCCTTGTGTATTCTTCATTTTAGCTAAATTAGCCTATTGGTTGTTTCCCCAGTTTGACTTTACATTCTTTTCTATGTGCCTTTACATGGGTATGGAATGTTCTTTTCTAACCTCTGTCTCTTAGAATCTAACTTCATTTAAAACCCAAGTCAGTGGTCTCCTCTTAAAAGAATCCTTTCCAGATTCTTGCTCATCCTCATATCTACTTGGTGCTCTCCAACTCCTGAAATACTTTGTGGTTACTTTGTGTATATTTTATATTAACATCCCCTCAGGATAATATAAGCTCTGTGAGGGGAAGAGCTGTTCTTATTTTTGTCTTTCTATCCCCACCAATTGGCACAGTGCCTGGCTTCATAGGTATTTGTTGAATACTACTAAAAAGGGTAATACCTGTTGATGTTGACTGGTCAGTTGGTGATACAGGGCTAGAGCTCACTGGAGAGACTAGGCTTAGGCATATGGACTTAGGCATACGCAGGATGACATGACAATAGCATTTATAATTTTAATAGCTAGCTTTAAGTTTGCAAAGCATTTTATAGAATATTCTCATTTGGTGTTCATAACACTTCTATGAATGAGATGCTTTTATTATCCCTCTTTTACATTTGGGGAGACAGTCTGAGAATGGTTAAGTGATTTGCCCAAGGTCACACAGCAAGTAAACACCTGAGACAGAATTTTAAGTTGGGTCTTCCTGAGTCCAAGTCCAACAATATTCATTGTACCACCTAGTTGCCTCATATCCAGTATGGGAGCGGGTGAGATCAAGTGAGAGAGCAGAGAACGAAAAGAGAAGAGGGCTTAGGACAGAGCCTTGGGGAAACTCATTGTTAGTAGATGGGGCATGGATGAATCCACAGAAGAAATTGAGGAAGGCGTGGTCAGAGGTAGGAGAAGCAAGAGATAGCAGTACCATGAAAACCCAGAGAAGAGAGGGTATCCAGGAGAAGGATGTGGTCTGTAGTATCTATTTAAGATAATAAATCTGGAACTGGAAGGAACTTCTGAAGTTATCTAGTCTCATCTCTTCATTTTACAGCTGGGGAAATTGAGACCAAGGTGACTTACCCAAGGTCACACAGGTAGTAAATGGCAGAAGTGGAATTTGAATGTGGATATTCAAATCAATACTTTTCCCTTTGGACCAACAGCGTCAAATACTGTGGGGTGGTCAAGAAGCATGGAGATTGAGAAAGGACAATTAGATTTGAAAATAAAAGCATACCAGTGACTTTGGAGAGAACAGTTTCAGCTGAATTATGATGCTAGAAACCAGATACTGAGGACATAGAAGAGAGTGAGAGGAGAGGAACTGGGAGTACTAATTGAAGATGGCCTTTTCAAGGAGTTTAATAGCAGAAGAGGCAAGAATAGGACTACAGCTAACAGGATGGTTGGACCAAGTAAGGATTTTTTAAGGCTGGGGTGATAAGCTTCTAGTCAGCAAGGAAGAAACCAGGGAAGGGGAGGGACTTCAAAAATTAAAAGCGAGGGCAGTGATTCAGCGGAGCAAATCTGCTGGATGAAATGGTAGGGAATGAGATCAAAAGTACATGTAGAGGGGTTGATCTTGGCTTGGAGGACTACCTCTTCATCAGAGACCAGAGCAATGGAGAAGATAGTAGGTGATGATATATGGATCTGAACTGAAGAGAAGGGGAGAAGGAGCTCTTGGTGAAGTAGGAGGTCTTCAACTGAGATGAGGGCAATCAGAGGCTTGAGGAGAGAAGAGAAGGTTTGGAATAGCCATTGTTGAGAGTGGGACGGAGAACCTAATAAAAAGGAGCAGCATTGCCTTGTTGTAGTGAGGGCCCATTTAAGATTAGACTGAATAATTTTGTCTTGGCCCCATTCAGCCTGGTTTCCTAACTCCAACTCCATTCAGTATTATGTTTGTTGTTGTTCATCCTTTGTTCTCAAAGGGACCAGTTGATACAGGAGGGTGATATCTTGACTTGTAAGTGAATTGGATATAGAGGAGGCAGGGTTGTGCAGTCATCAGCCTCACTCTCTCCTCCAGAGCAGGTTGGAGTCCAGTGGCAAGACATAGGTCAAGACACCTGGCAATGGCCTCTCAGCATCATGGAAATAGGTGGGTGAAGGAGGTGGGTGGTAGGAGTAGTCCAGGAGTGGGATTTGGAAACGTGTGATTGGTGATAGGACAAAGGGATGAGGGATTCAAGGATAGAAGATACTGCTGAGTTGAACTGTCTCACCAAGAGTTAGAAACTGAAGAGTGTGGTCAGAGTAGGCCTCATGGTCTGGGAAAGTACTGAAAGATGGAGAAATTGTAGGACAAATAAGAAGATTAGGGATCTTAAGGCATAGGGAGAGATGGAATGATAAAATATTATGATCCAATAGAGGAATTTAGGAGTTCTTGAATATAGAAGTGGAACGTTTTTGGGTAATGGCAAAGTCAAGAGTATGACCATCCCTGTATGTAGCTGGGGTACTAAGTAAATCATGAGAATTGAGTAGATTGAGGAATTGGAAAGTTAAGATATTTGAGGGAACATCAGCATATATGTTGAAGACCCCTAGTAGGAAAGCAGGAGCTAAGGGGGAGAGAGAGATGAGCCACTAGTGAGGCACCAAGGTCATTGAGGAAAGAGGGAGAGGATTCAGAGGATCACTAGATAAACTGGCCACTAAGATCTGGATTGAGAGGTAGATTTGGATAATGTGAACCTCAGAGGAGGAGAGGTTGCTGAATGGTGAAATCTGGAAAAGGTAGTGGGGAGCAAGGAATATTCCAGCTTGACATCCAGAATGTGTGTGTGTGTGTGTGTGTGTGTGTGTGTGTGTGTGTGTGTGTGT